TCCTTCTGCAGACTCATCCCATCCCATGGTTTTCAGGAACCACCTGCTCCTTCCCAATACTCCGGCGAAATGTGGATACAAACCTGCAGGGGGCCGGAGAGGAAGGGGTGGGTCACAGAGTTGCCTGAAGGGAGATTTAACAGAGGTCAGCTATTACCTAAGTAAGAGACAACCTTCAGGAAATGGGCTGAGCTCCAACCCGTGATATCCTGGTCAAGATAAAAATTCCAGAGAGTGTTTAGTTGTTTAATTAGCTTCAGTCATGTACGTTTGGTTACTTAGGTCTTGTGTATTACATAAGCAGTCATTTGGTCTCCCCCATCAGAAAGCAAACCCCTTAAAGACAGAGTCTTTGTATTCTCACAAATGTGCCCATTGCTTCTTTTTTTTCCTTCTTTTAAAAATTGAATTTATTGGGGTAACATTGGTTAACAAAATTATATAGGTTGAGGTATACGGTTCTATAACACATCATCTGTATATTGTATTGTGTGTTTACCACCCAAAGTCAAGTCTCCCTCCATCACCATTTACCCCCTTACCCTCTTCTACCTCCCCCACCCCCTTCCCTCTGGCCATCACCACACTATAGTCTGGGTGCATGAGTCTTTCTTATTTCTTTGCTTAATCCCTTCACCCATCTCACTCAGCCCCTAACCCCCTCCCCTCTGATGGCTGTCAGTCTGTTTTCTGTGTCCATGAGTCTGTCTCCACTTTGTAGTTTATTTTGTTCAATAGATTCCACGTATGAGTGAGATCATGTGATACTTGTCTTTCTCTGCCTGGCTTATTTCACGTAGCATAACACTCTCCAGGCCCCTCCATGCTGTCCCAAAGGGTACGAGATCCTTCTTCTCTACAGCTGCATAGTATTCCATGGTGTAAATGTCCCACAGCTTTTTATCCACTCATCTGCTGATGGGCACTTGCATTGCTTCATTTGAAACTTAAAAGTTTCAGGGTTGCTCAGAAATGCTCCCATAGGAGAATATCTCTTGTTTCATAATTTAAACCTGAGCTGAAATAGGAATTCTTAGTAGTTCTAAATAATAGTCACAGATGCCCGTTGCCACAATCATGCTGCCTAACAAACCCTCCAAACTAAGTGGCTTAAAACCATAAGCATTGATTTAGCTCACATGTCTATAGTCAACTGGTCAGCTGTGCTCAGCGGACCTCGGCTGGGTTCCCTCCATCAGCAGTCAACTGGTGGGTCAGCTGGGAACCAGTTGCTCTAGGATGGCCTTGGCTCAGCTGACTGTCTCTGCTCCTTGTGACTGGTCATCGCCTGGCAGGCTAGCCTGGGCTTGCAGGACACACAATACTAAGAGAGAGTTTAGGTGTAAAAGGCCTCAACAGCCCTAGGCCCAGAACTGGCACACGGTGACCTCCATCACACTCTCTTGGCCAAAACAAGTCACAAGGCAGGCCAGATTCAAGGCAGGGGAGGGCCCGAGGAAGGAGGGCAGGGAACAGGCTGGCTGCNTCACAAGGCAGGCCAGATTCAAGGCAGGGGAGGGCCCGAGGAAGGAGGGCAGGGAACAGGCCGACTGTAGAGCACAGCTGCAAAGGATACGAGCACGGGGTGGACTGGCACCTTTACCATCGATCTACCACGTCCTTCAGAACTTTAACATTGACCATGTTTTATCAACTAAAAGGAATATGCTGCATTGCCAAGGGGACCTTTTCTCTGCCTCTGTCTTGACCATTGCCCTAGCTGTTAGCTACAGAGTAATCTGTGTCAATGTTTATATGTAAACGAGTTTTCATTAGAACTTCTGAGCCTTCTCTGTCCTCTGTTTATCCAAGCTGCCCTATCTTTATATCTCCGGTCAATGAAGCCTTTGATTCCTCTATCCTAGTTCTTTCTGAATCCTTCACCATTGGGAGGTTCATTCAGTTTGGACCTGTCTAAAGATCCAAAGGGGGAAATGACATTAACATAGTATAGTTACGTAGTATAGGTCTTGAATATCATACTAACATATGATATTCAAGAACACTCTCACTGACATACTCTTATTTTTCCAAGTTAAATTCCTATTTAATAGCTATTTTAAGCTGTATTATCATACTGGTAGAGGTTTCTATATTTATTTATCTTCTGCTGCTGAATTCTAATAAATGCCACCTTGTACCTTTATTTATTTTTAATTCTCATCTGAGAATATTTGTTCCATTGCTTTTCAGAGAAACATCGATGTGAGAGAGACACATCTATTGGTTGCCTCCCACCTGTGCTCCAATCAGGGCCAGGGATCAAGCCTGCAACCGAGGCAGCCCTTGGCTGGAATCGAACCCAGGACCCTTCAGTCAGAGGGCCAATGCTCTAACCGCTGAGGCAAACCAGCCGGGGCAAGCCATTTTGTATTTTTAAAGCCTAGTGAACTGCAAGAGAAGCATGAAGGTTTTTTTTATTTGTGTGTGTTTTTAAAAATATGTCTTTATTGATTTCAGAGAGAGGAAGGGAGAGGGAGAGAGAGAGAAACACCAATGATGAGAGAGTTATTGATCGGCTGCCTCCTGCACGCCCCCGAATGGGGTTCGAGCCCGCAGCCCGGGCATGTGCCCTGACCGGGAATCAAAGCACCATCTCCTGGATCCTAGGTCGACGCTCAACTGCTGAGCCATGCCGGCCAGGTGAGAAGCACCACATTTTTAAATACCTCCTCATGCACACATGTGCACACACATGTGCACACAGAGGAAATAATAATTAGAAGGACTTGGGAGTGGGCATCAGGACCTCACTTCTCGCTGGAGCTCTGCTCCTCGCTTGCTGCATGACCTGGGCGAGTTACTAACCCTCTTCGGCTTAACTTCTTCAGTTCACAGTAGGGAGCTGGACTCTGGAAGCCTTGTGAACTACATCCATTCACTTGAGTGTTGTACTTTTACACCATGAAGTTTGAACTCATGGGCCTTTGATTCTATAGCTTCTGCTGATCACACAGTCAAGTCAGATGGACTGTTATTGCTGCTAACACTTTAAAATGATTTTAATTGGCTGTTTATTGCCAAGACAATGCAGTCAATACAGAAGCGAATAAAGTAAAAAGAAGCAGGAATCCTCCATCCCCCTGTTCCTAGGGATGATACACGTATATGACCAGTAAAGCAAGAGCACAAACAAACCAGAGCAGACGGCAGTGGAGAAGCGCCTGGCCCTCGGACCTACACGTCTGCCCAGGATCACACTGTTAGCTCTCTGGCCTACCCTTCTAGACTTTTACTGCAAATACCCTTTTCTATTCCCACAGACACATAAATGCATAGACGCACGCATAGGGTTTTTTTCTTTTTCTCCTTTTTTTAAAGCAAAATATGGAAACACACGAATTAGTTTTAAAACTCCAATTTTACTGTGGACATCGTTAATATCAGCACTCGGAGATCCAAGTGAACCCACAGACTCGTTGCTTTGGTGCCTGAGGAGCTTTCCACAGGTTGTCCAGCCGTCTCCTGATGATGGCAGTTAGGTTGTCGTCACTGAATATGTTTATAATTGTGAAAAATAAAACAGCAGTCCTGGAATTTAAGAAAGATAAACTGTTGTTTATAAGAACTGCATTTCAGAAAGAAGGAGGGAGCCTGCCCCAGTGAGCCAACAACCCTGCGTTGTTTTATGCGCAACAACCTAAAACCCCTTCAAGAAATGCCTGGCGCTTAGCAAGGGAGCAGGGGCCTGGTGACACTCAGGGGGAGGCCGGGGGGTTCCCAGAGAGGAGAGGGGGCACCTCGTCATCATAGATTAGCAAACTTAAAAAGGCTCTTTGAAAAGAGTGTGGAAAGCATACCTTTTGAAAGAGATCCCACTGTTTATTTAGTAAATCATTAAGGATTTGAAGTTTCTGTGAAGATTTTCGTTTTCCTCAGTAGTGATATGAGACCCCGGCTCATTACGGAACAGCCAGATCTCCCTCGGCTCACAGCCGGCTGCCCTGCACACATCTGCATCCTGGGGCACTTTGCAGGATTGGTTCTTGTGGGGCCTGGAGCCACTTGCTCAGTGACTGTCCCAATCACAGCACGGGCCGGGCCAGGCGAAGCCAGTGGAATTAGTGTTGCACGCTCACCACCTCCGCCAGCTGCCCGTGGCACTCCTCCTGCCAGGGCCTCTGTGCTGCCCCTTGGCCTCTGGGGAGCCAGGGAGACAGACAAGAATGTCTATCATGCAATTCTTTATAATGATGGAAAATTGGAAGCCGCCTTAATGTCCATGGTGAGGGAACAGTTAAACACTGAAGTATCTAGACAGCGGATATGATAATGGAGACCTCTGTGCTTCATCTGAAAACGTCCATGACAGGTTAGGTGGTAAAAGCAGGTTATAACACCAAGTTGAAACTTCAATCCTAGGTTGTGGTTGTTTTTTTAAGTGTTTATGGTGTTTGTAGAAAAAAATCCATAAAGGTTTGTATCTAAGTATTAGCAGTGGGAAGATTATGGGTCACTTTTTCTTTTTCTCTCTACCCGTCTGTAATTGTCTGCATTTTTCTGCAGTAAGTTTAAAGTTTATAGTTGGGGGAAATAATGCTTCACCCATTTTTCGAGCTAATTCTTCATGCATAGTGCCAGGTGACATCCACACATCCAGGAGATGGGGTTACTTAAAGGAAAGGTCTGCTACTTAAAGCTGATGTGAAAAGGAGATGTTCTTTCCTCAATAGGGCCCATCACCCTATTCTACTCGATATTGATTTTCCCCACTGTTATAGAGAAAAACACCAATTCACTCACCCATTCACGGAGCCCTTTTCAGGGAGCTGTGGTTTCCTGGGTGGCCTGCAGAGCAGCTGGCGGAATGCCTGAGGGCAGAGGTAGGGCAGGGAGGGCTAGAAAGCCTCTCCCTCCCCAAAGCCTCCTCTCAGCTGGGAGGGCTGGAGAAGATTCAGGGGTCTCCAGTGCGGAGTAGGCAGGGTCCCATCCAGCCTCCTGCTCTGAAAACACAGAGCGGTGCACCCCTCGACCTGGTTCATCTGGCGGTGCCTTCGGCCATGGTGCGCTGGCGGAGAGATGGTGGGAGTCCCTCAGGCTGGTTCAGGATGGACAGGAGGTGAGTAATTCTCGGGGTAGAGGGAGGGGACACAATGGCCTTGAGTGGTTATGTTCATTTCTTAACACTCTCTTCCACCCCCTTCTAGCACCTACAGGCCACTTTCTCTATTGTTATCTCTTGTGACTTCTGTGAACTCAATAGATGTCACTCAGTCAGGGATTTCTTCCTTCTTAGGTATGCCTCTTAGGTGAGGGACATGCCCTTAGCATCTCTCGAGCAGGTTGCAGTGAAGGGGGCTAGATCGCCAGGAAGCACAATCACCGGTTGGGGCGTCTCCATCACCCCCTTCGCTACCCGGAGCAAGTCACTAGATTTTTCCATTGCTTACCTGTGGCTTGCCATAGAAACGAAAGAGCTTGCAAAGACATCTGCATTGCCTATCTCCCCTCCCCCCAAGCCTTATGCATCCAAAGAATGCAAACCACAACGTGAGACCCCTTCCGTGAAAGCTGCAGTCTTCAAACACAAACTCACGCCTCAGGGAAACATCAGGGTCAGACAAAAGCGGAGCTGTTCCGCTCGAATAAGGAGTTTGCAGGGCTTTCAACGAGTGCAGGATGCAGCCTGGCAGGGTATAGGCAGAATTCGCCTTAAGACAGTCCTGGAGCCCGCCCAGGGCCTTCTATAAAACTTCAAATTGAAGGATTTTTTAGACAAAGCTTTTGTTCTCCAGTTCCCAGACATATAGACCCCACCTCCGTGAGCATCACTGTCTAAGGCTCAGCCAGGTTCACACACACACCCTCCCTCCCCCAGGCTGATCCCTGGGGAGCTTGGGAAAGCCCTGGTGCTTAATTGACACTCTCCTTTTGTAGTTAGGTCTTTCCCACTAAGTGTGACCCTCTGAGGGTAGGGGAACAAGCTCTGCCTCTTCCAACTGGCATCCTTCCTTGATTCCTGTTGGAGAGGAGAGGTTCCTCCATGTAATTCTGTGGGAATCACGCTCCTCTGGTTCAGAGGCCCCAAATGCTTTCTACGCTCTTCAGACACTGTCATTTGCTGTGAAGATAGAATGATAGTGGAGTTTTCAAGCAATCTTGGCATCATGAAATGGCACGCATCTGCGATGGGTAGGTAATGTGTATATTTTTATCTTAACCTTACTTAGCAGAAAGCCCTTGGCTCCAGGCCAGTCCCATTTTTCTGGTAAGCAGAGTCCACAAACTCTGGAGCAACTGGTATCCAGTTCCCATGATGCCAAAGGGGCCCTTGATTTGCTTGATGCCACCAAGAGTGGAAGACCTTGTCTTTCTCTTATCTCAGAATCTCCAGGGAAATTTTTAGTTGCAAATCACGGTATCTCTCAAAGCTCAGTTCCTATCACTCAGTTGGAACAATAAAAATGAAGTAATTAAAGTGCCTTAGAAATGGATTGGCAGTCTTGGCTCTGCAGCTTTGGTTGACTCTGTCACTGAAATGCACTTCTAGGCCATCCCTCTCTAAATTTCTCTGGCTTCTGTAGATCCCCTTGGTCTTGAAATGCTGAATTGCCCTTATGTCCTGGACCCAGAAAAGCTCACCCTATGGGCCCTGTATGAAAACTGTACCAGGAGAGTGGTAAGTAATTGCTTTGAGGGGTGATTTGGGAAGTAGGAACCTAGTAGTTACTGATACTAACCTTCTGGTTAAGGGTATAAGCTTTGGCCTAGAACAGTGGTTCTCAACCAGGGGTGACTAGTTTTTGTTTGTTTTTGGTTTTGTCTACCTGGAAGACACTTGACAATGTTTAGAGACATTTTCGAGACATTCTTGGTTATCAAAACTAGAGAGGGAGGAAGCTGGTACTGGCATCTAGTGGATACAAGGCAAGGATGCTGCTAAACAGCCTACATGGAATAGGGTGACACCGTGACCGCCCCCCCCAGAATTATCAACTCAGGTCCTGGAGTTGAGGCCTTGGGCTTGAGTCCTGGCTCTGCCACTCTCTGGGTGTGACCTTGGGCAAGTTAGCTAACCTTTCTAAGCCTCTGCTTGCCCACTGGAAAATAAGGTTATGGTGCCTTCTCCATACAGTATCTAAAAATTAATGTTGTAATGCAGATGAAATGCTTTGAGGAGCACCTAGCTACAACAAATGCTCAAACATGAGCTCCTTTGATCTGTAACCCCCGTGGGAAATGGGAGGCCATTGTGATGCTGGCAAAGAGACCCTCTATGCTGTCAAAACAAGTGTTGGAAAGCAAGCTGCAGCTGAGCAATAGGGTTTCTCTGTTTCCAGGCAACAGTACTTCCCAATGAAGGTTATTAGGAGCAGTAAAAGCAACCTCTCCAAGCAGTTCTCAAACTGGAGTGTGAAAAGAATCACCCGGGGAATGGGAAGTACAGACTCAGCCTTCTTTAGTTGATGACGTAGGTCTGGGGTGCATCCTAGAAATCTGCATGTCTAGCAGGCCACTTCACCTGATTCCACAGTGAAGAGCCCCAGTAATTAAAATTTTGCTTCCCAACTTTAGAAAGTTTAGAGCTGCATTCCTTTACACCAGGGGTCTGCAAACTACAACCTGTGGATGGCCACGTCCAGCCCACGGGGTTTGTGTACGTGTGTGTGGGATGGTCCTCGAGCTAAGAATGGCTTTTATGTTTTTAAAGAGTTTTAAAAAATACATTATCGAAAATTATATGTGGCCTACAAAGTGTAAAATACATACTAACATTTAACAGAAAAAGGTTGTCTGACCCCTGCTTTTGACTGAGTTCCTTAAGGGAGGGGAAATATTCGAAGATGTCTCCTCCCAGCACAGTGGCTGCTGTGCTACATTGATGCTCAGCAAGTATATTTGGATGACTTGGTAGAGGCCCCAAACCAGCCAGGACCATGATATTCGGGCATAAGGCAAGTATAAGAAGAAAATAAGAACTGAACTCCAATCGCTGAAGTTCAAGTGTATGAGTTCCTCTGGGCTGTCTGAGGGCCGGCTGCAGTCTCCTGGTACAGGATCGAGGGCCCTCCCCAAGGGGGCAGTGCTGGGCCCACTGGGCAGGGTCAGACGGCATTCTGGAACCACCTTTCCCACCGACGCCCCAGCATTTCCCGACCATTTTATTTGCACANCTGGGCCCACTGGGCAGGGTCAGACGGCATTCTGGAACCACCTTTCCCACAGACGCCCCAGCATTTCCCGACCATTTATTTGCACGCAGCTTGGTCAGCACCAGGTGACCATCAGCTTCAGGGACGACAGTGCTGCTATAGGACGCAAGGCTTCCGTGTACCGGATCAACTGCCCAGCTGTGAAAGCCAGAGGAGCCCGTGAGCACCCAGGACCCACCCTGTGCGCGAAGGGTTTCGTGTCTGTGGGTGAGGCGGGCCGACTGCTTCTCCTACGGCCCCTGCAGGGAACTGTGGTCTACGCAGTGGGGCTCGGGGGCAGCATCAGAATTCCGATCCTGTAGTCACTACTTATTGGCTCTGTGGCTTTGGGTTGATATCTTGAACACACTGAGTCTTTGTTTCCAAGCCCAAAGTGGGAGAAAAGAACATTTCTCTTGTAGGTGTCTCTAAAAATGGACTGAGAGGATATATACAGTGCTTGGCACACCACGCCTGGCAACGGAAAGGACTTAATTGGTAGCTACAGTCACATTAATACTCTTTTGACAAACTGAATACCTTTCACATGCCAGGCCCTGTGCCCTATGATAGGAGACAGTAAGTGAGCAAAACAGCCCAGTCACCCGCTCGTGGATTTTATAGTCTAACATAGCTAGTTTCGACAATGGAGAAATAGAAGAGATATTCGTACTGTATTATAACAATAATGGAACTGCGTGGCCTGAGCTAATACCAATTCCTGTGGATCTAGTAAAAAGCTGTGCATTAAAGAACCTAGTGTCTGCCCTTACAGCTGGAAGGGAGCCTAGATGGCCCTGCTGCCGTTCGGTACCCGAAGCGCTGAGGGGCGAGGGGTGTCTGAGGGCGCCGCTGGGACTCACATCTGGCCCTGAGCTTGTCCTCCACGTCCACACCCAGGCCCCTGGTGGGGAACCACACAGAGCTGCTCTGGGGCTTCCATACACTGTCAGTAGCATGATTTAGAAACTTGCCTCCAAATCAAAGCCTCACATCACTTTTTTTTCCCTTCCAGTTTACCTTTCAGGCTCTTCCTGGCATGGCTGACGAAAGTATGTTATGAAAGTAATTTTTTAACTTACAGACCTAAGTAAACTTTTTTTTCCTATATTAAAGGTAGCATAACTTCAATCCTGATTAAAATATTAGATGACAATCGTCTTGGGGTTAAGGGGAGTACCAGCCCTCTAAATGAAACTGTTGACTTTAGGCTCTCCAGCATCAGGTGGGATGGAGCACTGGGGTTGGTGATGGTGCGAAAGCCCGAACTCTGACCCTTCTGGAGGCCATGACACAGGATATAAGGTCCTGATTGACAACTACAGGATGGCCATGCAAGTGTCATTCAGTGCCACTGGAGTGACTCACCACACAGTGGGTGTGACTTTTTGTAGCACCATCCAGGCAGAGACCAATATTTTTAAAGCCAAGCATGATCTCAACCATGTCTTCAGAGTAACTGAGCATACAACCCCCTCAGCGGGTGTCTCAGTGCTTACTGTGTGCCAAGCACTGCACCGTGTACCAACGTTACAGTGGTGAACAAGAGAGGGGTCCTTACTTCAGCCTGTTCTCCCTCTTCCCCAGGGATCTAAATATACTGTGTAATATAGAGGGAGAGCACTTCCAGTCTTCTGTGAATGAGGTGTTCTATTTGTGTTATCGCTGTCCCATATTGTGTCTTACAGCAGGAACCGGTGCTCTTCGAGCCAACAGTCAAGACTCTGTTAAGTGGGTTAATGTGCCCCAGTGCTCCAATGCTGGCCATTTGAACAAGAACAGTCCTGTATAAACAAGATTGCTCAGTCTTGTAAACATTCTCTCCGGATGATGATGCCATAAAATTGTCATAAAATAAGAGCAGCTTTTGCTTTTACCTGCCTAGAAATGATCAGCTACAGGCCACCCTAGCTCGCCAGATATTAGCAAGTACAAACTTTTAAAACTAGAGCACCTGGCAGAACAATCGGTGGACAAAATGCCTAAGTTCTACTTGGGCCAAAATAGTGCCCAATACTTGAGTATACGTAGCATTGTTCAGAAACTGAATTAAACCAGTCTTTGAAAATGTCATCCCCCCGAACCCCCACCTCCAGCAAGGTAATAGTCATCTCTTCTCAGTGCCTCTGAAGCTGATCCATGTATTTCTTGGACAAAAGACCATGATTATCACAAGTGACTTGTATATCGGGTCACTTGCTCTAGGAATGGGCAACTCCAGTTGTGTAAGACACTGTCTGGGGCTTAATCAGAGCTGACATGGACATCCTGTCAGTCATTCCTTCCAGGTCCCATGGCCTGTAATGCCACACGCATCACTCGCACTATACCAGAGTTTCCTGGGAGGTTAAACTCCGTGAGCTTTGGAAACAGAAACATTGCCATGAGCCAGCTGCCTAAGAACGGGCTTGCTACAGAAGCAACAAATGGCCTGAGACTGCTCTTCAGCAAACTCGTCTCAAAGTGAAAGTAGTTGCCTTGTCGATCCCTGAGCCTGGGAAGCCTGACTGGAAACATGGTCTCGCAGGTAACCCTGAGAGGGCTGACTTGTCCGTAAGTTACAAGTGCCAGCGTGACAGGTTCAGACTCTGGAGGCCTCATCTGATCACTTTGCATAAGTGAATTTGCCAGTCACGGAAATTCACTTGCGAACCTCAGGCCTCTCTAACCTCCAGGGTGGAAGCTTTCCTAGGGTTTTCTCAGCACACTGAACAGCACAAACTGCTTCCAGGCTTCTAACGACGAACGTCCTAGGCCCTATGAAACACAGGACAGCTTGATCCAAGCAGAGGGCCCCACACTGCCCTCACGGAGGCCAGGGGCCTCCAGCCGTGCCAGGGGCACCGAGGACCTTAGGTCCGGCTCGTGTGCTCCGCCAGGACACGGCGTTTGCAGAGCCCTTTCCTCCCTCTGGGACCTGGCACGTCAGGCACCCGTTCTTTGGACTTTGAGCTGCTAATCCAAGCTTCAGTGGCCAGTACAAAGAGCGCGCAGGGCTGGGTACTTGAGGGTTTGAGTTTAAAGCAATAAGCTTCCCGGGGAGGGAAGCATCCTGATACGCAGTGACAGGGCTCCCGTCCTGGTTTAAAGGGAAACCCCGGTAAGTCTGGAGCGTGCCCTGCAGTGTTCAGGGCACCCTGCCGCCTCCCCACGGCTCACCCCCAGGGCTGCGGCTGCGGCCTGGCGCTCTTGGGTTTCCGCTCTCAGAAGCGCGCCCGCCCTCCCAGGGCTACTCAGCTCCACTTAAGCGGAGGTTTTCCTTCCGATGGGACGTAGTATCCATGGTGGTTCACCCTGAGTGTCTGTGAGTGGGCAGCCTCTACAGGTAAAGACCTTTAAAACAGCGGTTTCCACGCTCTCCCTGCCCTCCTTGTGCATGTGGGAAAGTGCACAGTGCAGACTGTGCGGCTTACACCTCGAGGAAGCGAGACGGGTCGGATCAGAGACATGAGCCCAGCTGCTGTGACGGGGCTCTAGGGACAAGACTGTTTCCAAAGCACGCACACAGGCAGGCCCCACTGTAAGTGCTCCATGCCTGGCAGCCTGGAGACCCTTCCTGTTAGGAGGCTAAGCTATTACCTAAATAAAATTGCTTTCATACTGTAACTAGAGGGATAATAAAAGTTTAAAAGACTTTCCCTGAACTCCTGCCAGTTCCTCGAATAATGTGGCACGGGTGTTCCCTCTCATGCAGGGTCCCCCAACCCGAGCATCTGCTGCTCACCAGTCTCGTCAGGTTAAGCCAGACGGGAAAAATTAGTTCAACTAATTTCTCCTCAACTTCTCCCCAAACTGCTTGTGAGTCTTGAAAGAAGGGACATAGGGACACCAGGCGCTGCACTTTGTGTCACGAATAATCTGACTCTTAAATCACTTCAGCTCCTCATCAGGGTTTTCTTGTGGATTTCTTACCCCACACGGAGCTTCTTTCCATGCCTCTGGCTCCCTCTCCCTTTGGATAAATTCTCTCTGTTCGTATAGAGCAGCTCCACTCTTGTCCAGGCACGTAGGGGCCTCCCCTTGTAACTCAAGCTACTTATCAAGGTGTTTTTTATTTTGAATTTTCGAGGATGTTTATTAAAGCTGGGGACAGTAAAACAAGGAAGGGCCTAGGAGAACAGGAGTGGGATTCGCTGGGGAAGTGAGCCTGGGCTCGGCTGCTCTGGCTCACTAAGGAGTCAGAGGAAAGGGGGCCTTGGGGACAGGTTCAGGGGCTTTGCCCGGATGAACTGCTGCTGCCCACCCTGCCCTGATTGCAAGTCTTTCCTGGAGTCCTTTAGAGTTTAGGAGACACAAGCCTGGGGGGAAGAAGATGGGGAAGGGGGAAGGGAAAGGCGCAGGCGAGTGTGCTCCTGGGAAGGAGAGGGTGTACCCTGGGACCTTCATTTTTGAGGGGTTTTAAAGTCTGGGCATTTAAGGGAGGACCTCAATAGAATATTCATCAGCTTTATGCTGATGTACCAAAATGAGATTTTTTTTTTTCTCTTAACTTCACCCATCCTTGGGTGTGGTTGGCAAATGGCACTAATTGGATTTCTGCTGTCGGTCTTCCTGAGCATTTTTCTCAGAGACTTAAGACACATTCTGGTGCCTCCTGGTGAAAACCCAAACGTTTCCTTCATCACACTTCAAGGTCAGCAGGTAACAATATTCACGTGCAGACAAATTTCTTTAAACTGTCGCCGCTATCTAATTACCACTATCTAAGTACAGGTGAGCTGGGTACTCGGGAGGGGTTTATGGATGTCAAAGTCCACAGCCACCAGACAAGCCCAGCTCTCAACATACCCTCAGCGTGGGGGGCTCATCCTGCAAGCCCACCTTCGAAGCTCTGTCTCGGGGCCTGGTGCGGTTTCACACACCCCTGAATGGATGTGGAACCGGACCTCGGGAGAGTAGGAGCAGACAGCAAGAGTTGACTTGTCTTTGAGATAACTGGTAAAAAACTCTCCTAACCCTTCTCTAAGTCCAGAGATGACAAAGTCGTCTATGAAAATGAAGTAGGTGCTCTCTGGGCAGGTGTGCCTCCAAGCACCACTTCCAGAGATGGTGAATTCCGGTGTGACACAATGGCCACTTGACTTTTGAAGCTCCAGGTTAAATTCAAGCAGACTTTTTAACCTAAAATTCTTCGTGCCCACCCCAACAACCCTTACAGGATGACCATGAAGTGCCGTTCCATCACAGATGACGTGCTGACAGGCACCACTGTCGGTGGTCCTCCCCTCCAGTGGGCTGGTGAAGCCGGGTCCGCTTGCCTTCATCCTACAGTCCCACCCCGGTGGGACCTCACAGCCTAAGAAATCTGCTGAGTGTCCCCAGAACACTCCCTAAGTGAACCCCCCGAGGCCGCCGGGCCCGTGCAGCGGTGGTGCTGTCTACGCTCCCCTCGCAGCCACCAGCTGCCCGAGCCCTGAGAGGTTTCTAGTCCACGTCAGGGAATCCCTCCCCGCAGCCTCACGGGGGCAAGGACGGCCCTGTGGTGAGAGACCGCCGCCATCCCGTCTACCTGGGGGTGAGTCTTGAACATCAAGCTGGTCTTAGATGGCCCTGGGCCACACCCACTGCGGCCNAGACCGCCGCCATCCCGTCTACCTGGGGGTGAGTCTTGAACATCAAGCTGGTCTTAGATGGCCCTGGGCCACGCCCACCGCGGCGCCGGCCTCTCTGCCCTGGTGGCATGTTGTGATGAACGGGTAGGTACTGTCCACGCATAAAGCGGCCCAGCTAATCCACTTAACTGCAGTCCTCCCGGGCTCCAGAGGAACACTGCGTCACAAAGGCCCTGGTTTTCGTCCTTGGTCTAACAGAGTGACTGCATTTTCTGTTACCCCTGAATCTAAAAGAATGGGAACTTCCCCAAAGATGTGTGGCCCCAGTAGTCTCCATCTGGAGAGAGCTCGATCTCTGGTCTCCATCTACCTGCTGAGCACCCAGTGTGTGCCAGGTGCTGTGTCTTCCACAAGCACTGTTTGACTTTGTCACTCCACGAGACACCAGCCAGCTCACTTCATGAGGAAGAAACCCAAGCTCTCTGCTTACACAACTAGCCCTAAGTAATATTTAGTAAAATGGTACAATCTGAATGCCCATTTGCCTCTAGACCCAAACTCCACAATGCTCTGGAGTTACGGCTACGCTAACACTCACGCTCTGCCATGGGGTCTGCACTAGACAGAACCGCACCATCCCTTCCTCGAAGCTGCTGTCACCTGTTGCTAGGCTCTTAACCTCTAGGCACAGTCCTGCCGGGGGCCACGTGTAGCCAGTGCATGTGTGCAGCTCATTCCTTCACCCCACTAAGACTTGTTCAAGTGTCCCCTTCCCCGTGAGGTCTACGCTGACCTTCCTGCTCCCTTACCCTGGTCTGACTCTTCTTTTCTTAGCAATTACCACCTAACACACTACCTTTTTTTAAATCTTTATCCGAGAATATGTTTTTATTGATTTTTAGAGAGAGAGAAACATTGATGTGAGAGAGAAATATCAATAGGTTGCCTCCAGTGATCACCCCAACTGGGGATTGAACCCACAACCTAGGTATGTGCCCTGACTGGGAATCGAATCTGCGACCTTTTGGTGTACAGGACACACTACTTTTTTATAGCTCTCACTCTCTGCTAGCATCTAAAGTATAAAATGATAGGACTTCTCTACCTTTTTTGGTCACTGACATATGTTAACTGCCTGGGCCATAATAGGTACTCACAATAGTCAGAAGAATTCAGCCAGTGTCACCTGAAGACACACATATAAAACTTGTAGCTCTTGTTGAGTTTAGCTGCCAAACAAATAGGTACTTAAATCATATTAATACAATTTTTATAGTAGGAAAAAACTAGTACATACAACTCACGATTTCACGGATATTGTTAGATAGGCCAAGTCAGAAATATGTTAAGTAAACTGTACAGCAATAGTCCTGAAGGTGCTGCATGTGCCTGAACCTGGGCAAACACTGAGTTAGGCTTGGTGACTGTGGCTGTCACCCTCCCTGGGACGAGCCGTGGCTGTGAGTACAACCTGGGCCAGCAGAGGACCACCTTTCACGCGGCCTGCTCCTCGGGGGCTATCCTGCTCACTACCAGAGCTTTGACGTGAAGGCCTTTGCCTCCCTGCCAGCTGCCCAGTGCTCTAGCCTGGTGAGTAATCAGCAAGCCCCCTGGGCCAGGCCTCGGCTCCACCTAATCCTTCCAGCTCCAGGCCCCCCTCCACTGTGGCGCCCTCCTCTGCCGTCAGCTTTCTCCCGACTCCCCTCTGTGTCCTGTGATTTGCCCCGTGTCGTCGAGAAACAGGCGAGGTAAAATTTCAAGTCCTCATTACTGTGAATTTATTCCAAACAAGCCTCATGGTTTCAGAATTTAAAGAAGGGTGAGTGCCTCATTCATTACCTAGTCCCAGGAGCCCACGAAACCCTAGCCCAGTTGTCCGAGTGAGCCTGAGACGGGCGGCCTCTTGCTCAGTCCTGCGGACAAGTTTGATCTTTTACAGATGTGACTCTAAAAGGTTACTCCTCCTGAGTCTAGGTAGATTCAGAACTTAAAATTCTTTGGGATCCACCCTGTCCTTACAGTAAGGTGTGTGCCCTGTCCTGAAAGCGCAGGAACTGCATAGAAGAGCAGGGACGCCATGGAAGTCTGCCCTAGAAATGCCAAGAACACACCTCTCACCACTCACTGCTCATGATTTCAGAGCTCAAACTCTATTACCTGTCTCCAGACACAGGGACCACTGAAGAAGAGGAAAGAAGACAGTTTGCAGGGACCCATCCTCCTGTTGTCGGGCGGCTCTTCAGGCCAAGGCATGGATGGAAGGCCCAGCATCCTTCCTGGATTCAAGTTCGCGGCTATATGTGAAATTTCATTATGAACATAAATAACACGTGCTCATTGTGAACCTGAACAGGAGGAGAAAAGACAGGGATAGTTTCCTGGGGTAGGTTCTGCTCAGTCTCTGTGTACCCTCCCCCAACCCCCTTTGCACCCAGTGGGCTCATGTCCTCTCCTTACGGTTCTATAACTGCTTTTAAAGCTGCGTCTTACATCTGTACAGAGACCTTCCGCACAGTTAATAGCTAACTAGAATTCCACCTAGGTTGCTCCCGGTTTTGTCACTCATGTCACACTGGAAGCCTCTCAAGCGCTGCCTGCGAGACAAGAACTCCGGGACCTGTTTCCAGAAGCAGGACTGCGGGGTCAGAAGGCACGTGCCTTGCTGCTGCCAAACCCAACTTATTCCTGTTAATCTCTTATATCTTCACCCCAGATGGTCTCAGTTTTAGGCCTAGAATTTGACATGAAGCTGTCTTAAACCCCTAACTAACAACATGCTTGGGACAGCTAACCTTTTCTGCTGGTGCCAGGATGTTGTGAGACCCAGGCTGGGACTCTAAGGTTCTTTTCAGCCATTTGATCTGAGGTCAGGAAAAGCGAGTGGGAAGTGGGAATGACACTGAGTGTGGAGGGGAGGCGGCTGGCTCAAGGGGTTAAGGCAATACCCTGTCGCAAGTTCCCGGACGCGTCCTTTGAGGCTTAACCCCACTCCCTCTCTGGGGAGCCCACATATGTAAGGCTTTGGCTTCAACTCGCCCTTATGATTTAAATCTGATCTTAAGACCTGACGCCTGCTTCTTCCCCAGACGCTGTAGGCTCTAAAGGGCGCGGGGCTGCTGGATATGCTGCCTTCAAGTCGATGGCTGTTGAGTTGTCGCAGCAGGTGCTGCGGCAGCTCCAGGCCTCAGCTTTGCCTGCACAAGAACAGAACCATGATGTTAAATCGCTGACTGAACTTTCAAGTGAAGTGGTGGCAGTGAGCCCCTCGCTTCTAGCTCCTCGTTAAGGCTGGCGGAGCTCGGGGACTTTCCCGCGGCCGTTCCTCTGCAGAGTGGACGTGCTGCCTTCCCAGACCCTCGGGCACTTCTGGTCTGCGGGGATGTGCGCTCGGAAACTGATGACTTCATTGCGTCTGGTCACTTCGTGATTTCTGACCCCCGTGCCCAAGTCTGACAGTGCCAGAGAATTCCATCAACAGTGGGGCTTAGGGACAGCCCACCCCTGGGGTGCGTTTAGGTGGCTCCAAGGCCTTTTACTCCTTTCATATATTCGAGATGGGGAGGGGACACAGGGAGCCACCGCTAACCCCTGGCATGATTTCCCTTCTCTGCAAGGGAAGGGAAACCAGGCCTTCCCAGGGCGTAATCTCGCATCCTACCGAGGAAATGTTCTCTAACTCAGGTTGCTCTTCAAATACGAAGACAACGTTCCCTGAGAACTTAAAGGGGTTTAGCTCATTCCCCGCTATGCCCCAAATCCAAAGGAAGACCAGAAATGCCCTTTGGAGGGGTACTACAGGCTCCCCGCCCCCTTAGCTGCACTTACAGCATTCCTAGCCTCGAGTCCAGCTGAACGCCGGCCTCTGCGCTGAGCCTGGGGGCTACTGTCCACTCCCACACCTGGTCGTCACCACTCCTGCGGCTGCTTCCTGAGGCTGCAGCTACACATCCTCCGCGTGACCACTGTCTGCTTCACACTACACGCAGCTCTGACAGAGGCCACATTCCAGGTATCAGAAATAAATTCGCTTGTATCCTTCAACTAGGAAAGCTCTGGGTCTAAATCAGAACTTTGCTAAGAAAAAAGTTGTAAAGCTTTTAAATCTCTGTACACGGCAGGGGTGGGGGCCTGGAAATAGAAACACGGCGCTTTAGTGTTTTGTAGACTCTTTTCACCCTCAACTGTAAGTTGCCACACTCTTGGGTTTCTCAAAACCTAACCCTACTCAAGGAAGAATATTAGACATACTTGGTGATCGTGTGACACTAGAGGTCTTTACCATTAAACCTTCGGCCCTATCTTCTAACACACTCTTTCACACAAATGGGAATGGAAACGGCTGTACTTACACTGGGTGAGAGGTCTGGGCTTTCCAGAGTAAGGTGACTAGTTCAAGTCATCTCAAGGTCATTCTTTGGGCGTCGCTTTATAAGGGAATGAGTCGTTCTGCTAAAGAAACAGCAAGAAAGGGCCTTGGCTTCAGACTTTTCTGTGTGGCTGCGTCATGTTAATGTCACACACTAGAACCAGACACACTGCGTGCATTGTACTTTTTAAGATGGGAATTTAAAAACATGTTGGCCCTTAAGTGGCTTTCTGACCCTGTGTATAGGCTGAATAATGCCATCCCCAACATGTACACAGCCGAATTCCCATAAACTGAATAGTCTTCCCTTTGCATGGCCCCAAATAGTTTGCAGATGTGGCGTAAGGTCTTGGCATGGGGAGATTATCCAAGTGGGCCCAATCATAAGGGTCTTTATAAAACAGGAAGGAAGGTCGGAAGCAGATGTCCCAAAGGAGGCAGAAGTCACCGTGATGTGGTCCGTAAGCCAAGAAATGTGGGCAGCCTCTAACGGGGGGGAGGGCAAGGAAGTGATTCTCCCCTAGAGCCTCCGGAAGGGACTCTGACTTCCAGAACTGTAAAGTGATCTGTGCTAAGCCTCCAACTTTTTGTTGTTTTTCATGGCAGAAATAGAAGGCTAATATACCCTCTAATGGGTCACTACCCACAACTTGAAAAACACTTGCTGGAAATGCTCATTTTACAAATGAGCATCTTGAGCCCTGGGCGTCATCCATGAGTTGGTCTGTTTGTGTAGTCACAGGATCAGGGTGATGTGGGCCTCAAGGCTGCCCCACAGCAGGACTCGGTTCTGCTGCATTTGCCAGAGATGCTGAGGCAGCACTGTGAGGAGAGCCATGCTGCCGGGAGCAGCGGCTGGGATGAACACTGTCGCCACGGTTGCCCGGAACCAGCATTGATGAGCAGGTGATCCAAGCCTGGTTCTCGGTTTCTGAAGGGACATGGGGGAGGAGCCTAATCAGCAGAGCCGAGAGGGACCGTGTGGGAAGTTGGTGAGGTCGAATCCTAAAACCCTGCTCCCTCATCCAAAGCAGAGTTTGCCATCTCCCTTAGCAGCAGCAATGGGCTGCAATTTTCATCCAGGTGCCAGGAGGTAGATGAAGGGCATTTGGGATTCCCCTCTACTGGGCAGCTCAATGGAGGCTGCAGGGGTGGGAAAGGACTTGTGTGCCTTGGGAGGCCCCCTCTAATGAGCTCTTCCTCCCTGCCCCATTCTGCTGCTTCAGGCAGCTTTATGGAATGGGTAGGGGCTCTAGAACTAGAGCTGACTTGGGGTACTGCACTTACATCTTTCTCATTGTGTGGCCTTGGACAGATGGAACATCCTCTGAGCCTATTTCCACACCTGTAAATGGAATAAAACCTCCTTTGGGAGCATGTGAGTGTTCAATGAGGTGACCAGGGCATTGGTGTATGAGCTGCCCAGTCAGCAGTGGGGCCATCTAAACACCAACATGGCAGTGTGGATTAACAGGGCCTGCATGGTGGCCTTACAAACTCAGAGACCTGAAGTAACCACGTGGGATGGTCTGAAAGTAAAACATCTTAACTAAAGTAGTTATGGTGAGTAGTCATAGTGAGTAGTCATATCCTAGACTGGTATCTTCCCTGACAAAGGTCAATCTTTACCTTAACTAAGCCTGTCTATTGTTTCTGCATCTATGATAACATATCTTTGGAATGTCAGAGTAATCCTGATAGAGCAGGCAGGTAGACAGGCATGAGCACAGCAAGAACAGTAGGCCAGGTACAGAATGTCACCAGGGTGGCAAGTCCCAGGTGCCTAGCAATGGGCAAAACTAGAGAAAACCACTATCATAGGCTAGGACATCACCCCCAGGGTGACCTTTCCTTCCCTGGCATGTCACTAGTCTTGTGATAGACCCCCTTACGTGAGGAAGAGGGGGCCAGAGAATAGCCCCATAGACTCCCATACAAGCCCTTGCACGACCACTCCCTTAACCATTGGATCCTCAGGGTAGTGGGGTTCTGACCCAAATCAAATAATCTTAGGAACAAAGCCTCGGGTCTGTTCACCACAGAGACAGTTTTGGTCATCAAACTAGAGATGACATTTAGGCCTCAGTTGTGTCTCAGCTCCAGGCCCAGGAAAGCAGCAAAGCCAGCCGAAGTGACGCCATGGCTGCCTCAGGACCAGCTGCACTGACTAATGACCCCCTGCCCTAGCACGAACCAATCAGTAGAGACCATGACCCTGAAAGGACACACCTGGAAAGCTGATGAATATTCTATTGAGATCCTCTCCTGAGATCTACCCTAAAATCTCTGCCTTTGGAAAAGAGATAAAAACCCTCAACATGAAGGATCCAGCTCTTTCTCACCCATGCCTTCTCTATCAAGTGTTTAAGTTTACTTTCTTTCTCCTAAGCTCCAAAGACGCTTCTTTTGCCTCTATAACTTGTTTCCTGAGTCCATGAAGCCCAGCTGGCTCACTTCTTCTGCCTCTGTGACTTATTTTCTCTAAATAAACTCTCTTGCATTAGAGTCCTTGACTCTGAGTTCTTTCTTAGCTATGAACTCAAGAACTGAGGTCTAACGTTCGCTGTTAACACCCTCTTGCCAGACCTCTCAGGGTACGATCTCCCACCAGAACATGGTAGCACAGAGCCCCTCTTTGTTACCCTGTTTCCTGTAAACCATCTCTATGTTCTGTAAATGTTAGTTATTAACTATCTTATACCTACCAATGTAAAAGTATGTGTCCATGTTTTCTACTTTTTATCCAGTCTCAGAGATTTGCCCACTTTACTCTCTCCCAGCCTCCCTAATCTATTACCAATAGATACCATGTAATCCCCTTATGTTTCTCCTTTAATTATAAATAAATGTTAAAACTGCCATTTCCCAGAGCATTTTCTCAATCCATTGAGATTTTGCTCCCCTGCAATTGTTGTCAGTTTGACTCAAAGGCATAAAAATTCTCTACAGGTGTGGGTGTTTCTCACATCGACGCAATAGCACTGTAGGTTGAATAAAGCCGTGGGCTAGGGGAGAGGCTCTTAATTTACACATATTTTGTAAAATATACATGTCTGGGCCCTACCTACTAAACTAGAATCTAGTGGGGTCTAAACGTGTTTAGACTCCGTAGAGGCTCATTAATGGCCCCCAACAAGTCCATGTCCTAATCTCTGGAACCTGTGAATGTTACTGTCTAAGGCAAAGGGACTTGCAGACATGATTAAGTTAGGGATTTTAGATAGGGAGATTATCCAGATTATCCAGGGGGCCCGTAATGTAATTACGAGTATCCCTATGAAAGGCAGACAGAGCCCTGGCTGGTGTGGCTCAGTTGGTTGGAGTGTTGTCCTTGTACTGAAAGGTTGTGGGTTTGATTCCAGGTCAGTACAGATACCCAGGTTGGGGGTTCCATCCTTGGTCGGGGCACATATGGGAAGGCAGCCTATTGATGTTTCTCTCCCATTGGTGTTTCTCTCTCCCTCTCTCTTTCTCTCTCTCTTCCCCTCTCTCTAAAATCAATTAGCATGTCCTTAAAATGAGGGTATACAGAGAGCTTCTGGGTAGGGGGATATGTGGAGGTTTGGGGAGAGTGGTGCAGATGTGGCTGTGTGATGTGATTCCTTGAGCTGTGGCAGCCATCCTGCTACCAAGAGGAAACAGTCCTAAGGACACTGAAAATTGCAGAGCGAAAACATGGAAAGCCTGCAACCTTGATGAGTTCCTGTTGCTGGAGGAAATAGGGCTCTTCCACGGTATCACGGGAAATACATTTCAGGGATACATGCACAGGGGGATTTGAGGTGTAGTGGAAAGATTTATTGGAGCGAAAACAAAGGACTGCCCCAGGGGCCCCAGGTCTCATTCACAACCAGGCCGCTCAGCTCCGTCTCCCTGAGGAAGAAGACCAGCCTCTGGGGCCACAGGCCCGCACTTGTCCC